TGGCTCAATAGTTGTGGCACACAGGCTTAGTGGCCCCATGGCATGGGGCATCCTCTCAGATCAGGGATCGATCTGTGTCCCCTGCATTGGCAGGTGGAGTCTTTACCTCTGAGCCACCAGGGAAGCCCTCCCAAGGCTTTTTTGTATGCATCTATACCCATATAGTTTTATAAATCTTTTAATATATTATTTATACATTACAAATGTTACACATGCATATTTAATGCATTACCTTAACGGTATGGCATTGTATGAATACGTTGTAATTTATTTACATAGACTTCTGTCATTGAAGAGTTGGAAGGTTTCCAATCTTTCATATCTATTATCCATGTGGAGCAAGACCTCGTGAATATCCTTAATTATTTCTTTAGGATGAAACCGTAGTGCAGCATTGTCTGTTAGAACTATAATGAGAGTGACAGATGTGAGCCAAATGTATAATTTAAAATTTTCTAGTAGCCACATTAATAAACAGATGAAACTCATTTTAATAATACATTTTATCTAACTCAGTGTATCCAAAATATCATTGAAACATGTGATCCATGTAGAAATATTAATGAAATATTTTATGTTATTTTTTTCCTGTCAAGTCCTTGATAGTGTGTATTTTGCACTTACAGCATACCTCAATTCAGACACTAAAATTTCAAGGTTAAAGTAAAATGCGGCTCTATCGTAACTATAAAATTATGTTTAACAGCAAAATATTGTACATGACTTCCGTTTTCAAATTTAAAGTTCCATTCCTTAGTCACACTAGCCATACCCCAAATGTTCAGTTAGCTACATGTGGCCAGTGAAAGAACTGTTTTGGCCATTTGAGACTGAGATTAAGTCAACCTCACTAACATCCACTTCTTAGTGTGTGAAACCAAAGCACAGTTGGGGATGGGGCCTGAATTTGGGATTTGAGAGCCCACTGGCAAATGTCAAGACCTGAAACGACAACAGCAACATGCCACAAACAACAGCAAGGCAGGCCACGTGATCTTGCAGTCCCACTCCTGGGCGTGTATCCGGACAAACCTATAATTCGGAAAGATACACACACCCCTATGTTCATAACTGCACTATGTACAATGGCCAAAACATGGCAGCAACCTAAATGTGCATGTACAGATGAATGGATAAAGAAGATGTGGTACATGTATACAATGGGATATTGCTGGCTATAAAAAAGAATGCAATAATGTCATTTGCAACAACATGGATAGACCTAGAGATTATCATACCAAGCAAAGTAAGTGAGAAAGACAAATACCATATGATATCACTTATATATGGAATCTAAAATATGACACAAATGAACTTATCTACAAACCAGAAACAGACATAGAGAAAAGACTTGTGGTTGCCAAAAAGGGTAGGGTGGGGAAGGGAGGGATGAACTGGGAGTTTGGGACCAGCAGATGCAAACTGTTGTACATAGAAATGGATAAACAACAGTGTTCTATAGTATGACATGGGGAAATACTAATATATTCAGTATCCTGTAATAAACCATAATGGAAAAGAATATAAAAAGAATATATACGTATGTGTGTGTGTGTGTGTGTGTGTGTAGCATGGGTGCATGCATGCTCAGTTGCTAAGTCATGTCCAACTCTTTGTGACCCCATGGACTGTAGCCCACCAGGCTCCTCTGTCCATGGGATTCTCCAGGCAAGAATACTGGAGTGGGTTGCCATTTCCTTCTCCAGGGGATCTTCCCTGACCCAGGGATCAAACCCATGTCTTCTGCATTGGCAGGCAGATTCTTTAGCTCTGAACCATCAGGGAAGCTCCATGAATATACACCTAAGTGAATTACTTTGCTGTATAGGAGAAATTAACACAACATGGAAAATCAAGTATACTTCAATTAAAAAAAAACAAAAACAACCACAATACAGGCAGCAGAACTAGGGTGAGAAGACAGCCCCGCAGGGGCCAGGGTTCCCTAGGGCAGTACCCACACAGGGCAGTAGCCTGGTGGAGTTGGGGAATTAACTAAATTCAGCAGATGGAGCCAATAAATATATTGGGGATTGTTTTTCCTCACTGTCTGAGAAGAGTGATACAAATGTGGGGAGGGGAAATGCTAGAAGAAACCCTGTGGTGTTGGACTGGGATTAGAGGTGTCAGTTAGCTATACATAGAGATAGAAAAATCAATACAAGTGTAGATTTACGATATTTATGTGTCTACATATTCATACATGCATTGCACATACCTATGGTGCCTGGAGAAGGCAATGGCACCCCACTCCAGTCCTCTTGCCTGGAAGATCCCATGGGCGGAGGAGCCTGGTAGGCTGCAGTCCATGGGGTCGCAAAGAGTTGGACATGACTGAGCGACTTCATTTTCACTTTTCACTTTCATGCATTGGAGAAGGATATGGCAACCCACTCCAGTGTTCTTGCCTGGAGAATCCCAGGGACGGGGGAGCCTGGTGGGCTGCCACCTATGGGGTCACACAGAGTCAGACACGACTGAAGCGACTTAGCAGCAGCAGCAGCGTGGTGCCTAGGCTGTGTATGGAGGGGACTGGAAATGTCAATGATCTCACGAAGTACCCAAATCTTGGTTTCTGAATACCGTGAGGAACCAAGACTCCTTGGAGAAATGACTGATTCCGGGGTTCGGGCAGGAAAAGATGAACCTGGAAAACTTTGTTGTGCCAGAAAGTATGGAAGTACTCCAAGAACAATGGGGATCTGTCAGAGTGTATTTTTTTTTTTTTCTTCTGTGTGGTTTTCTGTACCATGTAAAGATAACTGTTAAACCAGTCATAGAATAAGACAAAAGACAGGCAGGAGAGTTCTATAGATGTCTCAGCTGAGAGCCTGGCTCTGAGTTCTCAGTAGGTCAGACCCTATTCATTCAGAAATAAGTTAGAGAAGAAAGACATTCTTTTGGACATTTTCTATTTTAACACTCAAAACTGAGATTCCAAATGACAGGTATTCTAGGTACATTGGCTTATTATTGTGATTATGGTGCCTGTTATTGCAATGGAATGTGGGTTTGTCAAGAAAGGCACCTTTCTCTTTGTTAATAAGGTGAATAAAATTAATGTTAGCTTAAAAACCACTATTCTGATTTCTTCCCATGGGCTTCAGTGTCAGGCGGCAGGAATGCCCCTGCAGCTGCTGGCGTCTCTGGCACCCTCCTGACAGTTCTAGAGGGGAGCGAGGGCTGTCTTCTGAGTGCTTGCAAAGGGAGCCTGGGGAGGTTGTCCCGCGGCCCAGCCCGGCTCACTTGTCATCCCTGATCCCACTGCTGTGGCCGCGCCTGGGTCACCAGCCCACCCTGCAGCCCCGGTGTGGTGGGTGGGTGAGGCCAGCCTCATCTCAACCATGTGAACTGGGAGCCAAAGAAGGAGGGTTCCCCCCAAAAGAGTCTCAAACTGTCTTTACCAAAAGAGGGGCAGCGCTGGCCAGCTGAACAGAAACACATGCCCACTCCTGTCATTCCTTGCTCCAAATTATGTGATCCTAGAATTCCAGGGGCTTCTCTGGTGGCTCAGTGGTAAAGAATCCACCTGCCAACATAGGAGATTTGGGTTCGATCTCTGGGTCCAGAAGATCCCCTGGAGAAGGAAATGGCAACCTACTCCAGTATTCTTACCTGGGGAATTCTATGGACAGCGGAGCTTGGTGGGCTATAGTCCATAGGGTCACAAAGAGTCTGACACAACTTAGCAACTAAACAAGAACAACAGAATTCCAGGTCTGTCTTCTTGATAAATATTGGTTGACAGGTGCTTTGAAGTGTCAAAGGCATTTATGTACCTAAAGATTTTTATTTTTGTTTCATTGAATTATCTTTATTAAATAAATTTTACACCACAAAGATGATAATGTGCTTTGGGTAGCTATTGAAACAAAGCAAAAATGTATAGAGAAATGCAAAACCATTTTTTGTCACCCCATCTATAGGGCCTTCCCATCCTAACTTAGCAGGCTGGGGTGTGTGTCTTGCACACTTCATTCTCTGCTGAGACATGCCTATTGCCTTTCTTTTGTTAATGTTGTTAGCTTTTACTAAATAGGCAGTAAAAAAAACTTGCCTTTTTCATGCCATGGCATCCCTCTAGAAGCATGAGTTCAGGTCCATCTCATTTTATTTTATTTTAAAAATTAATTTTTTTGGCTGCACCGAGGGGCATGCAGGATCTTAGTTCTCCAGCCAGCGATGGAACTCTGGTCCCTCTTCAGTGGAATCACGGAGTCTTAACCACTGAACCACCGGGGAAGTACCGGGTCCATCTCATTTTAAAAGTATTTGTTAATTTGTGAATATCTGCATGTGACTTAAGATTGAAATAATGCAAAACAAGTTAAACAAAGGTTCCTCTCACGTCTGCTACCCACCCACCCTCTTCCCTTCCCTAGAAGATTAGAGATCCTTCCAGAGAGTGTCTGCATTTACAAAGATCTACAAATGTAACATTTCCCACAGGAGTGAGAGAGTATTTTTTTAATTTATCAGCGCATCTTGTCTCAGAACAATAGCATGCTTCCTTGCTTCATTCTACAGCTGCACAGAGCTCCTTGTGGGCCTGTATCCTCATTTATGAAGAGTCTCCTACATATGGCCCCTTGGGGTGTTTGCAATCTTTTGCCATTGCAAACAGACATGTAGGAAGTATCCTTCTTCAGTCATTTGCCATAGGATGGGGGCTCTGAGAGAGGAGTTCCTAGAAGTGCAACTGTGAAGGTCAAAGGATCTGTGCAGTGGAGATGTGGATGGATACAGCCCAGGTCCCACATCCCCACTGCACGGGAACTATACCTGCATCGCTCCCTGGCAAAATGCTGGGACCTGCTGTGTGTCCATCTTCAACAATGCAGTTGGGTCATGAGTGGAAACTGGGTCTCACTGCAGTGGAATGGGTCTTTAAGACAGAGCTGGAGGAGCTGGGGTTGGAGGGAACGCTGGGGAGCTACTTGCCTGTCCTCCTGTGGCAGCACCTCTGAGACGTGTCCTCTGTCCTCTGTGTCTCTCCGCAGAGCAAGCTGGTGAAGTACTTCAGCCGGCAGCTGTCCTGCAAAAAGAAGGTCGCCCTGCAGGAACGCAACGCGGAGCTGGACGGCTTCCCTCAGCTCCGGCACTGGTTCCGGATTGTCGACGTGCGGAAGGAAGTCCTTGAGGTGACCGGAGGCGACCCCTGCCCCATGCCCCGTACCGGCTGGCAGCCAGCCCCCTCAGGCAGTGGGGTTTTGGCTGTGTCTGGCACATAGTAGGACTTGAATACGTGTGGGATGAAAATACAGGGCATCTCTGATACTGCTTAAATGAAGTCAGTAAGAGGTTGTTCCTAGGGACTTCCCTGGTGGTTCAGCAGTTAGGGATCTGTGCTTCCACAGCAGAGGGCACAGGTTTGATCCCTGGTCAGGAAACTAAGAGCCCACATGCCACACAGTATAGCCAAAAAAAAGAAAGAAAGAAAGAGTGTGGTTCTAGAATCAGGTAGACCCTCTTTCAGCTCTGCCACTTAAGGACTCGCTAGGTGAATTGGGTCAGATCATTTTACCTCTTAGATCGGTGCTGTCCAGCAGAATGCTCCACTATGAGGGAAATGTTTCATATCTGTGCTGCCTGATGCTGTGGCCACCAGCCAGATGTAAGCTGCTGAGCACTGGAACTGTGGTTAGTGCATGTGATTGAGGAACTGAATTTTTAATTGTATTTAATGTTCATTAATGAGGCCACTGGCCACTGTACCAGGCAGCACGGTCTTAGGACATTAGTTTTCTCTTCTGTTAAATGCGGTAATGATTGTCTCCTCTTCTTAAGTAGCTGGTGTGATACAATGAGATAATCTGTGTAAAATGTTCAGCCCATAGTCTGAGACCTAACTGTACCCAGGAAATGTCAAGTTACTATTATTGTTATTATTGTCATTGCTGTTGTTGAAAATTTCGGAAGTAATGGGTGTCCAGTGACAAAACCAAAACACCTGTTGTCTTGTGTCCACCTTAAGGGTGGACCACATCCTTAAGGTTTCAAGGGTGGTGAGATTTCCTTACCCTCTGGGATCTTGGGTCCCCACTGTTATCAGTGACTGCGTGGAACCTTTCCACATTCATTGAGTCTTCAGGGCCAGGCATAGTATTGAGGGCTTTACAACGCAGGATCTCAGCTCTGGAGAGTGTTCAGACCCTCACGATGACCTCTGAGGTTGGTATGACCATTACCCCATTGTACAGAGCAAGGAATTGAGGCTGGGAGATGGAGGGACTTGCCCTGCTAGTGAATGGGAGGGGCTAGCAGGAAAAGCCATTTCTGACAGATCCCAGAGGGTGAGGTGAGAAGCACTGTGCTTTCTCCTCGTTTTCCTGATGTGGGGGCCTTCCTGAGCTGGGGAGAGGGGGTGCTGGGTGTGCCCCTTGCCTGAAAGGCCAAGTGCTGTTTCTCAAGGCACTCCCTGCTTCCTTCTCGGAGAGGCCTGAAAGATCCTCTTCTGCCTTTTGTCTCTTTTAGAACGTGTCCTCAATGTGATCTTGCCTGAACCCACCACATATAACAGTCCTGAACTGGGGACGCAGGACCCCGCTACGTTTCCCCCTCCCCTCCATCCCACGACTCCATCTTGCGCACCTGCACACAGATGCGTCTGTGTTTCTTAGTGTCATTCCCAGGATGTTGGTTTCTTGTGAATATCCTTCAAATGAAAGGTCTCATATATGTTCAAGCAGTACATATTATTTGCTTGACCCCGTAAACACTTTTCAGAGGCTTTTGGGACCATTTATTTATCAAGTGAGGCGAATTAGACGGAGACTAATCTTAAGGGGTTGAAAACTAGTGGCCCTCTGTCGTATCTTGAATCTGATGCACAAATTTTTTTGTTTGTCTGAAAAATTATTTTTGAGTACATATGTAAAACTTGAAAAAGTTTGCATTAAAAACCCAGGTCTTTGACTTCTCTCGAAAAATCGGAATTGCTGACACACAGAACTGAATTTGTCTGGTGTTGGTGAGCCGAATTCTGTTGCCCCTTAGACAACCTCAGGTGAGTTTGCAGCTTAGCTAATTTGCATTTGCCTGGGGTGCCGGTGCTTGAGCTCTGGCTCTCACTTTAAGTAAGTATTAGTCGCTCAGTCATGCCCGACTCTTTGCGACCCCACGGACTGCAGCCCACCAGGCTCTTCTCTCCATGAGATTTTCCAGGCAAGGATACTGGAGTGGGTTGCCGTTTCCTTCTCCAGGGGATCTTCCCAACCCAGGGACCAAACCCGGGTCTCCTGCACTGCAGGCAGATTCTTTACCGACTGAACTACAAGTGAAGCCTTGGCTCTCACTTTGGTCTGTTGGAATAAATGAAGTCCAAGGCCATCCACCAGGCGGTGTGGACGGAGCTGGGTTTCCAGCTCTCTCTGCAACTCCCACGTATGTCCCCAAGAGGGCCACCTCCTGCGGAGGAACAGGCACTTTAGAGAAAGCTCCCACGAGAGACCGCCTGGGTTCAAACTTACTCACTGTGTGACCCTGGGTTGCGGTCTAACTTTTCTGAGTTTTAGTCTCCTATGTACAGACTGGTGATGATGGTAAAAGTACCTGCTTCATGTGGTCTTTGTGACCTTGAAAGAAAATCCATGAAAGCACTTAAAGTGGTGTTACATCTATCTCATTTATTATTATTATATCCAACGGAAACGCTTCTCCTCTTTTGGCTCAAGAGTGTTAAAGCCTTCTGCATTTTTTTTTTCTGTCATTCTTCCTTTTGTGATGTGTGGGTGTGAGCTATAAACTTTAGTGTAAATTGAGTGTTTTGGAGGATACATAATAGGACTAAAACACGCAAGTGACTCTTGCAGCAAAGAGGAGAATTCTTTTATGTTGTGAATCATCCCTTCTAAATGTATCTTGTTTTATATCAATACTTCCAGATCCTGGTCCATCACCTTTCTTAAAGTGGCACTACCCCTGTAACAGTCCCTATTTGAGATAACCTCTATGTGACTCATTACTGTTCTCTCCACCACTGACCTAGTGAGTTGGAAAGGCATTGACTGGGTTCCTGGCAGCTTTTTTTTTTTTAATAGAATTTTTTTTTGTGCCGATGCTGTTTTCATTTTCAGTTGTAATACATAGATATGGCCACAAGAGGACAGAGTACTCCACAGTATTGCCTCAGAATTGCCATCCTTTGATATCTAAAACTTCTTTCAAAATAAAAATAATACATGTAAAAGCATCGGTTATCATTGAGTGCTATAATGTGAAGTCTAGTTTTTGTGAATACATAAACAGAAATTGGCAGACTTCGAGGTGTGTCCATACTGTAGTGTATAGAGACACGGTTTGGGGGAGGGGAGTGGTTGCTGCCAGTGGTGAAGGGACAGCTGACGCACACATTTATACCCGGGACTCTTCCTTTTCTTTTCCCAGCCCATGTCTTCAGAGGTGTCCTTTCCCCCACTCCATGCAGCGCTCCACTTTGTCTTAGGTTGCAAAATCATGCCTCTAGTCGGGCTCAGATACAAACCCTGTTTCACTGACAGCACTGAACCACCCACAAGGTTCCAGCCCCCATTCCCCCATAGGGCTCCTGAACCCCCAGTCTGAACCCTAGGATGTGTGTGGCTTGGAAAAACAGAAGCAGGGAATGGAGACCAGCCATCAGGAGACTGGGGCTGTCCAGTTTGCTCTGCTCTGAGGTTACCCTGGATCTGCAGCAAGTCAGTGCAGTCCAAGCTGGGCAGGAGGCATGGAGGACCCTCCAAGATGAGTGAGCTGGAGCCTTGCCCATCAGGAGTTCAGGAGCTGGATGGGGAGACAAAGTAACTAACGGCCACCATTTACAGAGCTCTCTAACTGTGTGGATACATAGCATATGAGCATGTGTGCTACCTTACAAAGCTCATGAGCTTAAGATTCCCATTTTACAGGTGAGCAAAGTGAGGCTCAGAGAGGTTAAGTGGTTTCCCCAGGGCTATCTAGCTACCGAGGTGGCAAAGCTGAGATTCAGATTCGGGCCTGTCTTGACTCCAAGACAGCAATCCCAAGCAGATGTCCACCCAGAGCCTGGCGTTCCGCTAGATACCACTAGAGGGCGGCATGGAGGCTTCAGGGCGCTTCTGGTCTGCTTACCCTCCTCTCTCTTCCCTCCGCTAGGAGATCACCCCGGGCCAGCTGAGTCTGGAGGACCTCTTGGAGATGACAGATGAGCAGGTGTGTGAAACCGTGGAGAAATATGGGGCCAACCGAGAGGAGTGTGCCCGCCTCAATGCCTCCCTCACTTGCCTCCGGAACGTCCACATGTCAGGTGAGCAGACCCATGGGGATGGACGCTCGTCCCCGACGTGCACCTCCGTTCCCGCGGGTTCCTGCAGGCCAGGCTGCGGTGGAGTCGGTTCTGGATGGTGTGTGCCGCTCATGAGCGGAGGAAAGGGGCCTGGGGTTCGGAGCCAGAAGTGGTCAGGGCAGCTGCTCTTGCCCACCCTTCTGAGGTTGTACGGCATTTGGTTCTGGATAATTAAGGTCCAGATACGGAAATACTGGACGTGTGTGAAAGGCTAGGGGGTCTTTTTACCTTAGACATTGTGACGTGCCTTTGTATTTGGGCTCAGCATCCAACTTATTTTCTTACATAAATAATATAAATTCATTGTAAAATAAGTTGAAAAAAATATATAAAAATAAAATAACAGCCCCAAGTCCCCACCCTCTACTGTTATCATTTTGGTATAGTTTTTGGTGTAATTCTTCCTGACAAATGGGTATGTATGTAGTGTCTTTACATGGTCAATGATAAAACCATAAAATGAGGGCTAGCCATACATATGATTTTGAAACCTACTTTTTTCACCCAGCAAAATAAGCTCTCACTTGTTTTATCAGTGTGAGGTCCAAATATATTGTCATCTTCCTTTGCTATTTCTCATTAATTGCTCAAATCTCTGTTTGCCCTGATTAGCAAGACACCAAAAATCGTCCTGATTGAGACTTCCTGCTTTCCTCTAGTCTCGTGATTTTTCCCACAATTTCCAGGGCCTTTTCAGTCCTAAGAGATCGACTCTGCAAACATCAGCCAAAGAAAAGCATCATTGGTCCACCTGCGCTGTTGTTCCAGTTCCTGCCACAAGGAGTCACTGCTGAGCACTGGTCTGGCACAGTCAGGTGGATGTTTATAGGTGCTCTCGACGGATTCAACATGCAACATTTAATGAGTATTTATGGAATGACTATATGTGCCAGCAGGGCTCGGTATACGGAAGTGGGCAGAGTAGCACATATCTGAAACAGGGCATTGGGCCAGCTCCCCCACAGATGCCTTTTTGTGTTTTTTCTTGCTAGTGGATTCTAACGATGGCTACAGTCATCATCAGGTAGCCCTGAGTTGGGGGCTGTTTTGCCTTGAAGGATATTTGGTGGCATTCCTGGCCTCTGTCCACCAGACACCAGTAACAACCCCTGTCACGACAAACAGAAACGTCTCTAGATGTTTCTAAATGTTCCAGGGAGGGTGCATTTGGTCCACCTGCGCTGTTGTTCCAGTTCCTGCCACAAGGAGTCACTGCTGAGCACTGGTCTGGCACAGTCAGGTGGATGTTTATAGGTGCTCTCGACGGATTCAACATGCAACATTTAATGAGTATTTATGGAATGACTATATGTGCCAGCAGGGCTCGGTATACGGAAGTGGGCAGAGCAGCACATATTTGAAACAGGGCATTGGGCCGGCTCCCCCACAGATGCCTTTTTGTGTTTTTTCTTGCTAGTGGATTCTAACGATGGCTACAGTCATCATCAGGTAGCCCTGAGTTGGGGGCTGTTTTGCCTTGAAGGATATTTGGTGGCATTCCTGGCCTCTGTCCACCAGACACCAGTAACAACCCCTGTCACGACAAACAGAAACGTCTCTAGATGTTTCTAAATGTTCCAGGGAGGGTGCAGAATTACCCCCGGTTGACTAACTATAAAGGTCATGTTATTCTTCACTCTAGTACAGTGCTATTGACTCACCTAATATTTGCATAGTTAAGAAAGGCACTCTGTGCAGACAAAACCTGCTTCAAGGTGACTTCTCTCCTCGTACTGTGAGAAGCAGCTGGCAGTTTTCTCACCCTTAAAAAATAGCACTGAATTACAGTATTATATCACAAACGTCGTCCTCTGTCAATAAATGCATTTGTTGCTCACTTTTAATGCCTGAATTCTGCCACCGTTTATTCCACCCATCTCCTAGTTCTAGAAATGTATGTTGTGTCTGTTTTTTCTCCTGTGATAAGCATTGCTGCAGTGAACAGTTTTGAGTGTTAACTTTAGGTACATTCTTGGTGATCCCTGTAGTGTGAATTCATACGAGTGCGGTTCCAGCAAAGTATGTATGTATTTTAAGACTTCTGGTGAACCTTGCCACATGACCTTCCCAAAATTTGTGCCAATTTTTGCCTCTCTCCCACCCCTACCCCCATACAATATATGAGGATGAGCATTTGAGGTTAGGTTCTTAATTGTTTTTCAGAGTTAATATCTTCTCTTCAGAACTGTGCTGCTGAGTTTGAAAAAGGCCTTAAAAATGAGCTGGACCCCAGTTCCTCCTGAGAGAGGGGTTTCTGTCACTTCGCCATGGGCTGGGCCATCATCCTCTGTAACATCCTGGGCTGGCTGAGACTTGAGAAGGCCTCTAATCTGGTGTTTTCCAAAATTTTTTGATCAAGATGCACAGGAACAAATACGACTTATGTTGCAACCCTTTACACACATGCAAACACACAAACACAGATGTACACATTCACATACACAAGTAAAAGTTTCATGAAACAGTACTCATTCTTACTGTGCATGGTATTTTACACACTCTTTTCTGGTGTATTCCATATCATTTATTGAATGCTGGTGATGACCCACCACTTTGATCTCACACCCCACTTTGGACTTTAAGCCACAATTCTAGAAAATATTGATCTTATTGATCCTCCTGCCTCCACCAACCCTTCCCAGGCAGCTAAGTTTCCTTCAATGATGCCCTACCTCTGATGCCACCCTTTGAGCCACTGAGACCTCTAAGGGCTGCGCTCATGCCCAGATTCCTCCAGCACCAAGGTCAGCTTGGGGAGAACCTCAGTGCAGTAAAGCACTGTCCACTCAGCTCTGAGTCTCTCTTTCTCTTCCGCGGCACCTTGTGACGTGGTGGGATCTTAGATACCCCACCAAGGATGGAGCCCATGCCTGCTGCGTTGGAAGGCAGAGTCTTAACCCCCGGAGCGCTGAGGAAGTCTCTGAGTCTCCTTGATATCAGTATTATACTCTACTTATGCCCTTCATCGATGTCATGGTGCCACCTTTCACATTTTAAACGTTTTTAAAGAGCGTTTTTTTCTAAATCGATGCCTCTCTTTGTTAGTAGACTTAAAGCTGCGAGAGAACAGGGATTGTACCTGTTTTTGTTCACCATTTTATTCCTAGCTATATAGCTAGTCTGTAGGAGGGACTCGGTAAATATCTCAATACACCTTCCACCCTCATGTAGCCCAGGAAAACTCCCCAGTGCCTGCATGTGCAGACTCTCTTATGGATGACAAGCTCCTCAGACTCCAGCTCCCTTCTGGAAGCCCACTGTTCACATTTCCCCCCACAAGTCCTAAATACCCAATTAATCTATTCGTTATTTAGGGTTTCCTAGAACAGACATGGATTTCCCATCTCGACACCCACCCCTCTGGCTAGAATTCCATTCCCCTTTGTCCTCCTGATGAATTCCTGCTTATCCTCCTGCCAGCTCCTGCCTCGAAGCTTCCGCACCTTATTAAATGAATGGATGAATGAATGATTCTACCACCAGCTGACCATGTCTAACGGTGACTTCCAGTGTCCTTGACTCACACCCTCATCTGACCGTTACCTCTCTGAAGCAGATGCGGTTGGCCGGGTGCCCTTCACCCCTCTGTTGCTGGCAGCTGGCCCAGGTTACCTGCCTGTGGTGAAGGAAGTTTGGGAAGGCAGCCTGATGTGCTTGCTACTCATTTCCACCAGGAGGAAGCAGTGAGCCACCCTTCAACAATCCTTGCTTTACATTCTCTTCTCTCAGAAATTACCATTGGTTCCTTGAGGCTTCAGACTCTCTGGGGAGCTGGATGGTTCCTGCCATTTCCCCCGCCCTTCACCTTAACCAAAAATGTATCCCAAACTAGAGGAAAAAAACCACACACACAAAACAACATGTGAGTCTTTCCCACCAGATTTTTGTTTCTCGAGGGTCATATCATATTCATCTTTGGTATCCCCACCTCTCAGCCAGAAAGCTGGAGCCTCCAACAATCAGTGAAATCAGATATTTAAAATTCTGATGTGTAGTGGGGACTCGATGTATGTTTGTTGAGTGACTGAAGGAGTAAAAGTTGTGTTGAGAAACCCATCTGGAAACCAAGCTTGTGGAGACAAGGAGCTTTCTGTCTGGCCAGGAACGTGTGTTATTTCTGCCTCTGTCTCAGAGCATAGGGGCAGCTTGATTTTAGGGTTCCTTGGAAGGAAAGTCATGACCAACCTAGATAGCATATTAAAAAGCAGAGACATTACTTTGTCAACAAAGGTCTGTCTAGTCAAGGCTATGGTTTTTCCAGTGGTCATGTATGGATGTGAGAGTTGGACTGTGAAGAAAGCTGAGTGCCAAAGAATTGATGCTTTTGAACTGTGGTGTTGGGGAAGACTCTTGAGAGTCCCTTGGACTGCAAGGAGATCCAACCAGTCCATCCTAAAGCAGATCAGTCCCAGGTGTTCATTGGAAGGACTGATGTTGAGGCTGAAACTCCAATACTTTGGCCACCTGATGGGAAGAGCTGACTCATTTGAAAAGACCCTGATGATGGGAAAGATTGAAGGCAGGAGGAGAAGGGGACGACAGAGGATGAGATGGTTGGATGGCATCACCGGCTCAATGGACATGGGTTTGGGTGGACTCTGAGAGTTGGTGATGGACAGGGAGGCCTGGCATGCTGTGGTTCATGGGGTCACAAGGAGTTGGACATGACTGAGCGACTGAACTGAACTGAACTGAACTCTAATCTTAGTTTTCTCCTTGGGTTCTGGGGCTCTCCTTATTTCCGGGTTCCCAAGGAACCCGACTGAGGCAACTTAGCAGAAGCAGCAGCAAGGAACCCCAAAGATAGGAAAGCTTAACCCTTTTATCTCTTCTCACAGTGTGTTAGATCAGCTTTCACCTGACACCAAGGAATACTCAATCCTCCCTTCAACAAGCTCCAAGATCCCCGAAGCCAGGGTGTCTTAACCTTTCCTTATCATATCAGCTGTGACCTGAAACCAGAGAGCATTCATTCGCTCATTTAACAGAATTTATCAATGCCTCAGGTATGCCAGGCACTCTCTGAAAACACGTGCTTAGATATGTGTCTTCGTGGAGTTTACATTCTAGTGGCGGGAGACAGGCAGTAAATTATATCATAATAAGCATGTACATTATAAAGTGTGTTAGACTAAGAGCTGTGGAGAAAATGAAAAGTTGAGCTGGTGAAGGGGGATCAGTAGTGTCCTCTGGGAACAGGGGACAGCTGTCATATTCTGTCATATTAAAAAGAGTGATCAGGCAGGCCTCCGTTCCCTTCACTGTTTTCCTTTCCAGTGTCTCCTCAGTCCTCAGGCGTCTGCTTGGAGTATGGAATCTGGCATCAGACACACCTGTCAGCTGGGTGGCTTTGAGTTCGGTGCCTCCTGATTCCGAGCTTAGTTTCCTAAGTAGAGTGGCGATGACGATCATTTCCACCCCACTGGCTTTCGGGTGGATTACAGGAGATGATGCAGGCAGCAAGAGACACGAGTTTGATCCCTTGGTTGGGAAAATCCCCCTAGAGGAGGGCATAGCAACCCGCTCTAGTATTCTTGCCTGGAAAATCCCATAGATGGAGGAGACTGCAGACTACAGTCCATGTGGTCTCAAAAGAGTCAGACACGACTTAGTGACGAAAACAAGGAGATGATGATCATTTCCACCCCACTGATTATTTGGGTGGATTACAGGAAATGATCAGGCAAGGTACAGTTCCTGGTCTTGGTTAAGTACATTGTCACTTTTACTGTTATTGTAATAATTATCACCACCCTACAACCACCATCACCACCATTTCTGCTTCAGTTCCCATGATCACCATCATCACCAGTATCATGACCATCATTACTGTCATTAGAGCCTCTAGCTTTTCTCTGCCCCCAGCTCTCTTTCCTCCACCTTCTTTCATTTTCTCTCTCTTTTTTCCCTCCAGAGGGACCCTGGGCTTCAGTTTTCTAACTCCATTCTCTAACTCTTTGTTTCTCTTTGATTTCCCTTCCCTTGAGCCACTGTCTTCCTCAAACTTGATGCTTCTGAGAACCTATTTCCCACTTTTCACTGGCTTGATTGTTCTCTCGTGGTGGCCCACCTTGCCCTGGCTGAAAAAACAGAAGTAGAAGTGCAAGCTACACCACACTGCTGT